CTTTTTTTGGCCAGCTCCGTCATCTCATTTATTAGCTGTATGCATAGTGGCCATTGAAATCGCACGAAATCGGCGGCCAAGACGTTCCCCAATCGAATCACTTTCACTTTGCTCACCTACAGGGCCACCTCTTCAAACCCCCCCCCCCCCCCCCCCCCCTTTTCTTTACCCTCTTGTCCAAAAAAACTTGCGTAAACTTTCGTGGTTTCAAAACGAAAAATATGTTTGTGCGATGACAGGTAAAAAAAAAACAAAACAATAATAGTAATAACAATAAATGAATGGGACAGGGAAAAAAGGTGTTATAGGAGACATTTTGGCAGCTTTATTAGCAGGTTTGCGGTGCGTGAGTTCCAGCCATTCGCCAAGTCATGGGTTAAATTAACAGGGTCTTTTTTCTGTTGGTTCAACGTCTTGTATTCAAGTGGCTAAAACGCCAGACCACGCTAAGGTCAAGGGACAACTAGCCCATGACCTTCCACCGCAAGCCATGATGTCAGTTGGCGTCGAGATTGCAATGGTTTCAACAGATTACCTATCAGCAATCCAAGGCTCAGCTATTTTGAATACCCTTAAAGGTTAAAGGAAAAATATAAAATCAATGTGGCTAAAATATTTAAGCAAGCTGGGTTAATATAAATGGTTTAAGTACATTGGAATAAGTTCCTGTGTTGCTTTAAATGCGCAAAAAAAAATATAAAAATGACTGTTGTTGGGTATTATCATTTTTTAGAGGTTGCTGTTTCGCCTTATATAAAATTAATGTTCCTAACCATATATTTCCTTTATAAACAAAACGAATATCAGTTATTCTAATCATAATGATTATAAAATTACAACATTGGTTGATTAATAAGGAATATTAAAGCTTTGATTTAACAACAAATCAACAATGGCAAATTGAAAACACCACTTGTTTTCGGAGTCAGTATATAAATTTTAATTAATAAATAAGAACTATTAGTTTTTTTTATATGGCTAATATTATTTTTTTAATGTTAGCTCTTTCTTCTTATTTAAAACTAAAATGCGTATCCATCTAATTCCTTTAAAAGCAAAGCGAAAATCAGTTATTATCATAAAAATACAGCTTTGACATTGTGTGATTCAGGAGTATAAAAGCTTTGATTTATCAACTAATCAACAAAGGCAAATTGAATACACCAATTGTTTTCGGAGTCACTATATACTATATATAGCCCCAATTTAATTTAATACAACACACTGTATATGCAAGTCAGCCTCGTCTGGGAAACCGATTAGTTGCAATCTGTATTCCCATGCCCACCTGCCCACTAACGAGTAATTGGCAACATATTCGTCAATCCGCCCAGCCAACCGTATTGCCACAATGATGGCCCATTGTCTGGCCGTCAACGCTGCGTATACGTAATGTGTGTTGCACGTATACGCCCTGTTGGTTTGCCAGCTAATGGCAAGGCGTGGCAGATTCTTGGCTAAGGGCTCGGCCTGATGCAACACATGATATATACCATATATATATGCCCGAGAGGAGTATGGAGTAGAGGAGGGCATGTCGTCATTGCCATTGTTTGGGGCCAATAACTCGATCCTCTTGCTTTTTTTCCCCGCGGCTGGGAACGGGGTCACCTGAGTCGCAGTTTTTTGGCACCTGCCACAGTAGTTCCGCCCGCCATGCTGGGAAGCTAGCCAACCTGTGAGCGGGTCTTCAGGTCTTATCATTTTTACACCAAAAAAATATTGAGAATAACGCTGCTATTAAAGAAATAATAATAAATATATTATATTTTAATTATTTTTTTTTTTAACTATTAATCTTCAAAAGAAACACCGAAAAGCGTGACAACCAAAGAAATTAGCTTCTCTCTTTACCATTTAAAAAAAAATTTTCGAGTTTTACATCGCTTCCCAGCTAATAATTATGAGAAGCGCATAGAAGGGCGTCATTATTCAAATCCACAATAATTGTAATTCAGCAACAATTATACTTTCCCCTACTGTAAACAACGATTTTGTAATGCATATTTTCATGCAATAAACAATGTATCTTTGGCACATTGCATTTGAAATCATCAAACTTTCTTTTGGTGTACAAAAGTTACTTTGAATTTAAAAAGTCATAACTTAAACAGGTAAATACTATTTTTCTGTTCAATAAATAGGGGAAGGACATAACGATTGGTCGAGTGACTTCTCTGTAAGGCGTATGAGCAATTGAATTATTTAGAAACGTTTGGCGACGCCTTCAACTTTTGACACGCAGCCCCAGACAGCCAAGCCCCCTGACCCATAAACCCTATCTTTTGGTAAATAGCAGTGCTATAGACCAGCGCGAACTTCTCCAGCTGATTAATTAAAGAATAACAACAGTGGAATACCTCTCTTTCGCCCTGGGAACAGTTGGTTGGACACGTTGCCCGTGTTTTTGGGAAGCGACTCAGTCCAGCCGGCAATGCCTTAGTGGCAGCTCCTCCAGATTGAAGCACACCACCACGCCAAGATGCCCTACAACCTCTGGCTGCGCCGGCGCCTCCAGCTCCTGGCCTCGCTCCTCTTCTGCGGCCTCCTGGGCTATTTGACCTCGGAGGCGGTGGCCAAGCCCACGTTATCCTTTAGCTTGCCGCAAGGTCTGCAGGGATTCCCCTCGTTCCAGTCATTCACCCAGCAGATCATCGAGCAGCGCAGTGTGCGCCAGATGAAGACGTACAGGTGAGGTTATTCTAAAATATGACTATCCTAAAATATAGCTAATAAATAATCGGAATTATTAAATACATAGTTAAGTTTAGTTTTAGGGAATAATTTAATTATTGACCCCCGCTTAGCTAAAAACTTTGAGAAGCGCATAGAAAGGCGTACTTACTAGAGATAGACTATAGAGCAGCGCAGCGCGCGCCAGATGAAGACGTGCAAGTGAATGGTGATCCATTCCATCCGGACTGTGATTAGCAGTCAAGCAACGATCGTCTGGAGGGTTTCACTCGCCCGCCGAGTCCATTGCCATGGACGTCACGTATCCGCACGGTCGGACGACTGGCCATGTGCCCATAACCGCCGCATCGAGCTCGAGCCTCAGCTCTCACTCAAAGCCCTCCCCACAAGTTGCACGGAAAAAAACAAGAGCTTAATTATAAATGAAAATGCGCTGGTCAAATATATGTTTACCTTTGCCTTTTCGTATCATTTTAAATAGTATTTGAGATTTAATTTTAATTAAAATTAAACAATTTCATAAAATCAAAAATGAGTATAAATTCTAAATTTTTCTTTCCTGTACACTCTCTTTTTTCGCAGCGGGAAGCGGGTGAGCAACGACTCCCTCATTATGATATACTATCACGATCTGACCATAGCCGTAACGGAGCTGGGACCCCAGAAGCTGCTACTCGGCTGTGAACTGATAGAAATCTAGTAAGTATTTTCTTATATTTTGTATTAAACACAAAAATCCACAAACTTGAAAAGTAGTACTTATCATTGTGGTTTAAAGATTCACCTTGGTCACAAGCCATCATATAAACTAAATGTGAAATAATTTGACTAAGACTTAAATAAAATATTTTTTAATAGCATTATATAAAAACGCAAAATGTAATTAAATGTTGTGTGCAAATAATGTCCACTTCTTTGTTTGGAAGAAATCAAGGTTTTCCGGAAGTATCATTTTGAGTGACTTACGTGGACAGCTGATTAGACAGAAAATCCAGAGGGTTAGGCCCTGAATATTTGATTAGGCACACGATTTATCACGCTTATAAAAATCGAAATGTCCGGCTGTGGTATTACAAATGTTATTCGCGTACAAATAATAAATAAATAAAACAACATATGTATAAAACAAAAACACAAAATGGGTTCACTGTTCTGATAACAGAAGAAATCGTGAAAGAATGCATAGGGGCGTGCTCTTAGCTAAGAAGTATGAGAATCGCGTAGAAAGGCTTATTAACTAATGCTATTCCCCTCTTTCTCCCTATTCCATAGCAACGATAAGGAGGGCAAGATGCTGTTGGAGGGTCTATCGCACTATAATCGCCCACTGGAAATAAAATTCGACGAAATGCTCAAGCTGATGGACCAGTGTGAGCATGTGGATAAGTTGAGCTACGCCTCTCGGTACAGATCCAAATTGGAGGGCGGTGAGCGGAGCAGTGGCGGCGGAGGAGGCGACTCATCCTCAACGGGTGGAGCCAATGATGGAGTGGCCCTCAAACTGGCCACCAATATATTTCCGCGCAGTCCCTTCTCCCTGCTGAGTGGAATTATTCCAGGTAGGTTTATCGACTACAAGATGATCCAATGATGTTTAATAACTTATTTTACCAGGCACAAAATGGTGTGGCACTGGCGATATCGCAGAGACATACAGCGATCTTGGAACCGAAATGGCCATGGATAGATGCTGTCGCCAACATGATCTATGTCCTATCAAGATCCGAGCCTATCAGAACAAATACGAACTGATGAACGATTCGCTGTACACAAAGTGAGTGAAGAAAGTGGTTGGGAGTGGTTTGATTTTTGGGAACCCTAATAATATTACTTCATATTATAAACTATAATCCAATCGGAAACGTTTATAGTAATGATATACTACATAAATTATATATATATAAATCGCTAATTCAAAATTATAATATTAATATAAGATATTTTTATAGGGTTATAACATAAACCCTTTATAACCTATAAGATAAATTTCACGAAAATTAGTTTTAACATCGTAATCCCAAGATATATCTAATATTTCCATTCCATATTCTTCAGATCCCACTGCATTTGCGACGACATGCTGTTCTCCTGCCTGAAGATGACCAACACCTCGGCCTCGCAGCTGATGGGCTCCATCTACTTCAACCTGGTGCAGGTGCCCTGTTTGGACGGGCGGAGCAATACGTACAAGTTCCGGGCGGCCAAGGAGGGATTCTAAGTAGGGGAGCCAGAAATCGGGGGTTTCGTAGCTCATTTCACTGTACAGGAGGTGGGGACCAGAGAGAGATGGACAGGGAGTCGCTCTATTTATTGTTTTACAAATGATGACGCCCGCTTTTTATTTTTCGAATATTCTGTTGGGTTTACAGTTTACAATTAGCGTTAACGTTATCTAGGATAAGTATTATGTAAAATTGCAATCTTTGTTATACAAATACAAATACGAATATAAATATATATATATATATATGTATAATTTATTTGATTAGCCGTCTTTATTCGTTACCAACGTAAAAAAAAAGTATGTATATAAGGGACAAGGAAAACACGCACACAGTTTTCTTTTTGAAATTCCGATTCCATCTTTAACTACAATGCTTAACCTTAATCGTTGTCTCTCTCACAATATTGCACTAACAAAACAATGTTCGACAAAGAAACAACACACAGATTTTTGTATATATATAAAATTTTGATTCGCGTTCACGGGGAATTTTTCGTCTTCAGCAGGCAGCGACACTGACTAGTGGAGTCTTTCTATATATGGGTTGTCTTTGCTGTTCCATCATGGGATCCCTTGCGATCCGCCTATCTCTAGTGCTAGCGATGTGATGGGTCTAGGTACTTGGAAGGGCGACTGGAGAGCCTAGAAGATGCTGGCCACATTGGGGCCGGGCTGCGAGTTGGTCGGTGTGGGCTGGGTGGGCCGGTCGATGTCCTGGTAGCTGCGCTGCTGGCTGGTTGGGAAGACCGATCCCGTCTGCAGGGTGCCGCCCCTCGTGTTGAACTCCCTGTAGAGCAGGGCCACGCTCACGGGTCGCAGGATCAGATTGATGATGCTGAACGCCACGGCCCAGCCATCTGAAAGTGGTTGAAAAAGAAGGGTGATATTAGTTTGGAGTCTGGCTAGGATCGTACATCTGTTTGGTGTGTCGATAGGGCGGGGCAAATGACTTACTCATGATACCATAATGGAGAGCAATGCTGACTATGTCAAAGAAAATGCTAGAAGCGTTGATGACGAGCGCCTGCAAAGAGATACGAAATGGTACAACATGAGTTTGGAGGGAATGCTGGGATTAATGATAAAGGGTTTGAGCTGTCTTATAACCCCGAATCGGTTTTAAATTAATATACATTTTAAAAGTGAGTTTGTATTTAATTGTAATAAATCAAAGGTTTAAAATTATATAATGGTGGGAATAAGAACAAAGGGTTTAAGCTGTATTATACCCCCAAATAGGTTATAAATTGGTATACAATCTTAAAGAGAGTTTGTACTTAATTTTAATAAAAAAAATAAAGGGTTTGAGCTGTTTCATACCCCCGAATAGTTTATAAATTGGTTTACATTTTTTAAGTGAGTTTGTAATTAAATTTAATGAACACACGTTTATCATCTTTGGAAAATGTAAAACTTTTTTGTAGTAAACTTTTAGGCTTATTGAGCAAATGTAAGTTTCTTAAAATCACTACTTAAACCCATTTTAGAAGTAATAGATTACAATTTTACAAACCAATACTAAATTATATAAAGAAAATTAAGACAATTGAACAGCTAAATATTTTCTCAATAGTAGAATTTTTATAAATGCAATGCAAAATTCAAAGAAAACTAATTGAAATGTAAACTTTCTTAATGGACCTATAGAAATTTTGTTTTTCTAAAAAAGTATAGAGGTGTAAACCCATCGAATTGATGTTTTTTTTGATATTTTAACAATATAGAAGCACATACAAAGTGTATTTGTTTTTAAAAAATCTGAAATAATAACCATTGGTTACCAAAAACATCTTGTATGCACACAACATATGTACATACGTCCGCTTTTCTGATAATAATACGTTTGCAAACCCAAATGGACAACATATGGTTAAAATTCAAATTCCCAGACCACAGAACCTTCCATCCAAATCCTTCACCCACTTTGCCCGGGAATTACTCAGCACGACTCTTTGGGGAACTCCAAGTTATTGCCAACAACAATTTACATATTTGAAATTAAATAAATTATGTTCATTGATTTTTCTTTTGCAGTTTGGCCAGAGGCCGCGGGAGAAAACAAATGAAATACCTTCTGGCTTTCGAAGGATTTGACATCGAGTTGCGTTGAGTTCGGTTGGTTAAGAGGCGTTGCTAATGGCTTTCGAGGAAGCAAACAAAACAAGCACCGATGCCTGGGAATCCTTTATAGCTGGCTAGAAGCCTCGTTAAATGGGAATCGTCGTAGTGCCCGATTTATATAGTCCTTCCCGGGGGCCTGTGACCCGAAATGGCAATCGCGTGCCGAGGGTCCTTCAAGATAGGGAAAAAACCAAGCCAGTAACTGGGGGCAGTTGTGGGTCCCTCAAATGTCGGCTTTCCGGGGGCGGTGGTCACTTTTCGGTCGGCCTAAGGTCAAAGTTTAGCCATTCACCGTCTTTACTTACTGCTAACTCATCTATTAATACACGAATGCCCCCAAACTTCACACGCAATCCTCCAAAAACCAGGACTTTTATGTGAAAATATTTATATTCATTTATTCCCACACGAAAAGAGAAAAGCTGAAACAATATCAGTGATTAAAAATCAAGTTTTTCTTACAAAAAAAGAAAAGGAGACCAAACACTTACATTTATTCTCATATTTTGATATTTTTAAATATAATTTTGATAAGAAAATATTATATTTTGATCTAGATAATGCCACTTTATCCCTATAAGTACTTTATTACAATACTTCTTTTCTACTATTTTAGAAAAAAAAGAAATCGAGACCAAACATTTAAATGTATCATCATATTTTGATTTTCTTAAACACAATTTTGATACATTCAAAGTATTATATTTTGATCTAGATAATGCTACTTTATCTCTATAAGTACTACGTCATATTACTTTTTTTCTTATGTTTTATCAAAAAAGAAAAGGAGATCAGACATTCAAAGTTATCATCATCATATTTTGCTATTCTTAAATACCTACAATTTTGATACATTTAAAATATTATACTTTGATATAAATAATGATAATGCTACTGCGTTATAATACTTTTGTTATACCTTGCAAAACTTTTTTTTAAATTTCCAAAAACTATATATTTTTTATCAGAAGTGTTTATAAATCTATATACTTTTTTTCACTGTGTACATCCGCATAAAATCCACTTTCATTTGCATACCTCCACGCATTCAGATTGGGATTTGGTTCCGTTTTTTTTTATTATTTTGGCCATGCCACTTGACGGGCTAAATCCAGTCGGGGGTGGAGCAGAACATTAGAGATTAAAGATCGGGCCGCGCGGAAAACCTGTTATGGCCAAGTTAACCCATAAGCGAGCAAATTGATTGGCCATAAATGTGCCGCAGCTTTTGGTATTAACCAAAACAGCACGAGAGTTTTCCCTTTAGAATTATACGGCTTTTATGCCAGTAAGTAAGAAATTTATATGCCGAAATCCCAGTTGCAAGTCACATTGTCAAACGGCAGACTTTGGTACTTGGATAACCCAAATGTGGTATCTTATCTATAAGAATTTATCTTTCTTTCTACCTTAATCTTAGCTTTATTGCCCTGCTTTTTAAATATTCTTTCTTTGAGAGCTATTTTAATAATGAGATTGTATTAAATAATATTTTAAAAAGCTTTGAATGCTACCTCAGAAATAAATAGTAAAAGTGTTCTGGAACTTCATGGATTTACCAGCTATTAATGTATGAAAATATAATAATTAATAGTTTAATTCTTTTATTTAAAGTAGGCATGTTTTGAATTACCAAGTAAATAAATTTTAATTGAGATTGCATTAACTATTATTTTAAAAAGCTTTGAATGCTACTTAAAAAAAAATAGAAAATAGTTCTGAAGATTTATGCAATTTCCACCTATTATTGTATGAAAATATAATAATTAATAGTTTAATTATTTTATTTAAGCTAGGCATGTTTTGAATCACCTAGTAAATAAATTTAAACTGAATTACTCTATTTTTGTAACCCAAATTACACTGTAAGTTAGGTTTATTGCCATGATTAATCGTATTAAATCAGTGACTGCATCATCATCATCATCGCAATCAGTCAATCACTGCATTTGATTGTTTGAATCTCGATATTCTCTCCGGCATTTGCGACTCGTCAAAACTATTTTAGTGAGAACATTTGTTATTTATATTTTGCATGTGTATGCTAATTGCCGATTGGCGCTTTTTCGAACAACCGGTTTGACCGATTTAGCAAATTTCGAGGTGATATCAGTGTGAGTCGTCTAGCATTTGATTAAAGCCTCAGCGCAAAAGGCAAGGGAAAGTGCTGGACGAGTATATTCAATTAGTTGGATCAGCACAGACAGTACATATAAAGTACTATAAGAGCCCTTATCTTCAAAACAGACCGATCAACAATACTTTCATGAGTCACAAAAGGCAGTGAATTGAATGCAATGTCATATATCAAAGTCTTAAATACCAACGCAATCGGACTACTGCACTCTTATGATTATCATTTAATTTCATAAGAATAACCTGATAACACTCAAGTTCGGAGGTTTAGTATTATAATTTGTAAAAATAACTAAGCTATAATTCTATAGACCAATCTTTCTGGTTCTATTTTATCAATCGCGGTTAAGATAGTCTGAACACGTGGGAAATATTTTTAGCGCTATTCGGTATTATTCCTAAAAATACCAAAACATAAAAAAATACTTAAAAGATATAAATGGTTTGACCTTCTTTTTAATTTTTTAAATTTTGTTAGAATTTATTAAGACAATACATTTTTATAAGAAATAATTGTATTAAAACTGAATATTATTATTTTAATATTAAAAACAATATAACAATTGGTTTCCAATTAATAAAAAAAAATTATTATGTAATTATTATTATTAATTATATATTATTATTATATAATGTTCAAGATTGATTGATTATTTCGATGACAAAACTTTGGAACCAAATCAGTAAAAATGAATATTTAAATTTCTTCAATAATAATATTCAATATAGTGGATCTACAATAATACTTTGTGCAAGCAATAAATTCTTTTCAAAGTTATGATACCCCCTGTTCAAGATATAACAAGCCAATAAATGGATTTAATTGAAGGGCAGACTCAATTGTGTAAATCAAAACCTATATCAATTGACCGGACTCACCGTTTGGACCGCCTCGATGGAGTCCTTGCTGTGCATCGTCCAGAACATGGCGATCAGGAACAGGAAGTTGTAGAACTCATACGCCCCATGGCCCCAGGTGCCCAGCATGGCATTCGAGATGAAGAAGAAGTGCACAAAGGCCACCAGCTGCAACAGAGTTGGGAAATGGGAAATTAGGTGGGGGAATGCATGTGGCAATATGGTTATGTGTGGCCATCTGGTTAGCATATAAGCATAATCATAAGCGGGTTAGTGCCAAGTGAAGCCCCACGAATCCGGCGGCGGAGTTGCCAATTGCAGTCCATATCGTATCGGTTGTCACTTGCGGTTAACTCGGGGCGCTAATCATCGCCCCCAGCGACTGGCCATTAACCCAAGGAGGCCCAACAAGTGAGAGTTAGGCACAGCTGCGGTCATCGCAATAGCAGCGACGTACTTTCTTTAAAAGCTCTATGTGGAGTTGACCAGATTATAATTTTTAATAATTTGTAAACTTGTTTTATCAAATGCAACCACAAGTTATTCAGAAATGTATTCCTACAAACCTTTTACGGTTCTAGTATGATATTATAATATGTGCTTTTATATTATCTAAGTTGTACGAAATATGTTTATTTAGTGGTCTTTCAACTATTTCTTTAACCATTTTTTATAATTAGAAGCAAATTTATTTATCATGGACAATATAATTCGAACTTTTTTTAAAGTCTAAACCCTAAAGCCTAACCTTTAAATATTCTCAGCGAAATTTGCAAATCTTCCTTTTTTTAGTTGATATGTCTTTTTTAAATTCGTTTTTTAAAATATAATCAAATATTAAAGTAGTATTTTCAATTAAAATGTATCTCTTAATGGTGTTATTTTTATTTTTTTTTTATTTATTTCTCTCTAAAGTTTTTACTGGTTTACTAATATATTACGCATTTAAGTATAAAACAAACAATACATTCGGTGAGTATTTTATTCCTCAGAACGGAACGTACAGCAAAGTGGAAAATAGTAAAATGAATTATCTTGATGGTAAATAATTTAAAAAAAAATGTTAAATGTTCTAAATGCTGTAATTTTTCAGTAAATAAGTTAAGATTTCTGCTGAACTTTTAAAAAATTATTTTAGAATGCAGCTGTACATTTGCGTATTCGTTTGCTTGAACTAAAACATTTATTTACGCCCACTGCTGTTGCTTCAACCAAGCTGTGCAAACACACATATGTCATTTATTCTGTGGCTTAATTTTGCTGTATAAATAAAGATTTTTACAAGGCAGTTTAAATTTTATGATGGATACTGCTGTACATGTTTTGCGTGTATATATTTTTTTTGCTTTCATCCAAAGTATAGCATTTTTATTTGCCTGTATTTCGACCGCAGCTATAGCTACTTTATTTGCTAATTTCGCATGCATATTTTTGCATCTTAAAAATATGTATTTTTCAACGCCCACTGCTATTGTTTCCACCGGATTTGTACAAAGATCTTTGCCTCAAAAATATAGAACTTATTTTCCGGCGTTTTGGTCGCTGCTCTGCAATTACTTATCTATTTTTTGTGTTTATTTTTTACATCCGCCTACTGATATTTTTACGGTCTCAGATGTAACATTCTTTATCTACTTTGTATGCTTATCCACTGTTTCTTTCGACCAGATCTGTAAATTTTTTTAATATATTTTGTATGCCTAATTTCTCCTTAGAAGTACTTTTAATATCCCCTCACTGCTATTTTTTTGGCCGCAGCTGTATCTTGTTTTATCTACTTTATATACTGCCCCACAGCTATTTTTCGACCGAATTTTTCGCCTTTTTATGTATTTCATTTGATTGGATTTATCCACTATTTTTTAATCTATTTCGTAAGACACATGTTTCCCCAGAACTATCTTTTATATCCACCCACTGCCAATTTTTTGGCCGCAGCTGTATCATGTTTTATCTACTTTATATACTAACCCACAGCTATTTTTCGAACAGATTTGTCCCATTTTTATATTTGACAGGATTTATCCACTTTTTTTATCTATTTCGTAGGCTTTATTTGTCCCCAGAAATATTTGTTATATCCGCCCACTGCTAACTTTTTGGTCGCAGCTGTATCTTGTTTTATTCACTTTATATACTGATCCACAGCTATTTTTTCGACCGGATTTGTCCCCCTTTTATTTCGTTTGACTTGATTTATCCACTTTTTTTTATCTATTTCGTACGCTTCATGTTTCCTCAGAAATATTTTTTATGTCCGCCCACTGCTATTCTTTCGGCCGCAGCTGTACCTGCATCCCCTGCTTGGTGGATGCTGGATGCAACAGGAGCGGCGTCTGGCCTCCCGCAGCGAATGCACTGCTTGCTCACCTTCACACGCACGAAAGGGGATCCCATCAATTCGTTGAGGTCGGTCATGATGTGGCTCTTCTCTCTCTCTCTCTCTCTCTCGCTCAGCAGATGCAGATGCAGCGGTCACCGCTATCTCTCTCACTCCCTCCTTTTGCTCTCCCACGCAGCGGCGACGGCGAGAACAAAAACAAATAACAAAAAAAGGCGCACAGCTGTTTCGTTATTTTCGTGTGCAACAATTTGCTGAAATTGTTCCACTTCGAGTCTATTTTCACTTGCAATTCACTTTCAATTGGTGCGAAACAAGCATTCGCAATGGTTTCACTGTGTGTGTGAGCGCACTTGTTGGTCTTCCCTCCTCTTCTTCTTTTTAATTGCAATTATTTTGCAATCACAGTTGTTTTTTTTTGCGGGGGGCGTTAACGGTAAAGGGCAAAAAATTAGTGGTGTGCACAGCAACAATTATCAGCCAGGCAAAAAAAAAATGAGTGTATATTGTCCTCCCCTGCAAACGTTTGGTGACAACGGCGCAACAGCACGAAAAAACCCACGAGCAGCTTTGATTACTGCGCTGCGAAATGAAATTCAAAAAGTATCTGGACCTGCGCTAGGCGAGAAAACCAAACCTGAAATTAAAAACGCTAAAAAAGACACCAGTATTTTTATTTTCTACATTTCGCCACGGTTGGCGGATGGTCACACCAGCTGATTTTAAATTTGCTCTCCCTCTCCTTTCAACAGAAATGTTAAGTTGTTTTAATATTAAGATTTGCAGAGCGCTGCTTTTTGTAGCAAGAGCAGAAATCTTCTATATCGCATTTTACTGACACCTTTCGGTTGATTACGTTAAAACAGAAAAATACTGAAAAGTACTTCTTGGGAAGATAAAAAAAAAGCTCGTTGACGCTGGAAATGCAATGCTCTCATCCTTCCAGCTTTTAGCTGGATATTATACCATTCTTAGCTTAAAAACATAATAAAATGGATAAATTAACTTGAGTATGGGCTTCGAAAGATAAAGAGTGTTACCACTTTTCAAACGAAAACGTGAAAGATTACTGCAATTTGACTCTCGAATCTCTTTCAAATGTTGGGAATGTGTCTCGGCTAAGTTAGCACATCTATATTTCTTATCGACGTGTTATCGGCTGTTATCGGTTTTGATTAAAAAATCGCTAATCTTTTTTAAATGATGATTTGAAATATTAACAATTTTAATCAAAGTCATAAATGCCTAATGAACCAGACTTGAGCATAACTAATTATTATAAAGTTCACGGTCCATACTTTTATACACTGCACACTGGGTCAATTTTTGCAAAAATCTATCATTTCTTCCGTAGTCTAGTTAGAGGATTCAAAATTTTGTGATATTTTCTTGAAAGATTGAACATTTCAACGAAGCTAAAATAACATTTTTTGATTTTGTATATTTGTCGATTTTTTTTAACAAAAATACTAGAAAGCTGCTTAAGCCGATTGTGTACATTTTTTTTATTTTCTCGCTTAAAAGTAAATCCAGTAAAAGATTTAAAAGTTTGCTTTAGAAGCCTGCCATGTTGAATTTGTATTTATTGTGTATACTTTTGTACATTTTATGAAATAGACTTAATGGCATTTAAAATCCATTCCCGGTAGTAAGGGACACTGGTGAAATCTGCATAACCATTGCACCACTCCGGACCTCCTGAGACGACACCCACTTGTTGTTGGTTTACAACGAGAGGACTACCGGAGTCGCCAGAGCAAGGAGTTTGTCGAAAAGATCCGGCGTAAATTACATTCTGACGTGAGGGAAATAGTTTTTCAGCGAAGACCGGCAAGTAAATCTGGAGCCATATGCCTTGAAGATTTCTAGGATATATATAGTTCATAAAGTAGGGCTCCGCCATGGCTCCCCAGCCAGAAAGGAATGCGGGCGATCCAACAGCTGGATTCTTCTCGGCCAAAGGAATCGACTGTACTTTGTTGTTGAACTCCAGCGGTTCACTTAATCGCATCACAGCAATGTCGTCGGTACTTGAACCCATGTCAAAAGACTCGTGGGACTTAATGGCTGCAACTTTGATAAGTCTTCCGCCGGAATCGCTTAATGCGGATCCTACGCGAATTTCAAAGTCTTCGGCCTCAAGTTGTCGTTCATCCAATGTAAAAATGCAATGTGCAGCAGTGATTATAATATCTTTGCTGTAAATGGAGCCGCCACATAAATGCTTTCCTTGAAATTGTAAGGAAACCTGCCAGGGAGCCTGTTCGATTTCAATGGGACTTCCTCCGATAATGCGTTCTTCCGGTTGCGGCACTCGTCCTGCAGACAGGAAATCAAATGCGAGTAGCAGTACAAAGCAGCTGAACAACATCTTGACAAGTTTGGTTGAGACTTTAGATCACAATGACTTGACTACGAGTAGAATAGGTCTTTTATAGGCCACGGACATCACTATTTGGGTGAGGTTATCTTTAAACACTTTCAAATTTAGACCCGGTTCTAAAATTGTATAATGGAAACATTCCGATCATGTTTTAGGTTTCACTTTAACGCTGAGCAAATTGAAAAATATAAGTAATTGAAAAAGTTAGGTTATTTATAGTTGTTACATTATCAGTAATGACAAACTTTTGAGTTTATTGGTTTTCTATATTTGGCGAATGAAGTGAAAACCATTAGGCTTATAAGATTATACACCTTTCAACGGGTTACAAAAAATTATTTTCAATGATAAATATTATTCACTTTGCCTTATACTTTTGTTTAATTGTGTTTAGTAACGCAGTTTAATGCAAGGTGCAAGTAATACATTATTTTTTAATACGTAGTATAAAATAAATATAAGTTTTGGTTTGAAAAACAATAAATATAAATATTCCAAAAAATACAAATTGGAAGCGAATCTTCAAAAATGTATTACATCTTATTATGTTTAACTATAAAAAAGGATTAAAATTTATACATTTCTATATATTATAATGATTCTAAAATCAATAAATAATGCTCAATTGATTTTTTATTTTATAGCCTCGGTGTCTGTTGACATATGTATTATCTTTTACTCTAAGGAATATACCTTTTGAAATACTTCAGAATTTTAAATTTAATTCAAAAACAAAAATCGAACAACCATATCCTATATCTGAAATGGAACCCATCGGATAATTATAATAAAGCTGTCATAGGAGGCATCGCAAAATTAATGTCAAAATAAAGCGAAAATTGTTATATTTTGATTTCGGCAAAACGTATACTCTAGTAAATTGAAATGTACCACTATCTTAATATTTCTATAAATATTATGGTTATTTAAATTAGGAGGGTGTATCGGCTAGATTAGCGAGGACACCCTTACAACATTTTGGTGGGACCGCATTCGGGACTTTGTCGGTATTTTTAGTATATACCGAAATTGTACATCAAGACTAGCGAACAACCGAACTTCAATGAAGACCGTTTGAGACATAGTGAGTACACCCACTTGTGGATTCATTTTGGGCCATCTCTGATTGCATCTCATGATCAGTTTTGGGAAAGGTACTCTTTTTATGTACCTAAATAAGGAATGCTAAAAAAGGTACATTGGTACAGTATAAAGCTATAATACTGCTATTAACCTTTCAAATTTAACCACTCAAATACTAGCACATTATTATGTACCTAGTAAAGGTGAAATGTACCACATAAGGTTACCAGGGTACGAAAATAGGTACGTGAATTCATGCAGTGCTCAACACTGATCGCGATATCACTTGGCGGCAATCCTAACAACAAAACACAGAAACGTACGCTTTGCAAAAAACTGCAAATATATAACTGAATATCCGATCGATGGCAGAACCCCGCCCCGGCGCCTACAACTACAAGACCCTGCTGTGAGTATATGGCACACCCGCATCCGCGCGAACCAGGCCAACTGACCAACAACCTTCCACATCCACACCCCCACCAGATGCACAAACATCCCGGAGCTGTTCCTCGACAAGTATGTGGCCCGGTCGCATTTCGGCCGCTTTGGCACCCTGATGAACTTCGTCCTGCGGCCGCGACGGATGACCTGCACCGTGAGCTATGCCAGCGAGGAGGAGGCGGAGCGGGCGCTCCTCGAAGGCGGCACCTTTCAGGGCCACCAGTTCGAGATGTGCTATGCGGAGAATGAGACGACGCCGGCCCAGAAAACGGAGGAGTGGGTGGATCCCGATGTCCAGGCGGAGTTGAGTGCCCTGCAGTCGGGCTGGCGGAGTGAGTATGCCCCGGGTAAGACCCAGAAGCCACCGTCGGGCGGAGGTTTAGGTGGCGGGGGAGGAGGTGCTGGCGGTGTACTAACGCCGCCCTCCCTTCCGACGGTGGCCGCAAAGACACATCCGCCTGCCGCCAGAGAGCGAACGCCCGCCCAGCTCCGAGATCTAGAGAACGTGATGCGCAGACCCGCCCACACAAGCGAGGAGAAGTACCGCGTCCTGGATGCCCGCGACAAGCTGATGCGCCTGCACCAGGTCCAACGGAAACTGGCCGGAGCCACCCAGGGTCATTGCCCGGACATGTGCCCGGAAAAGGAGCGCGTGCTGAGGGAGTTTCAGCGCCAGGTGGCTATCTATGAGTTGCAGCCGGGTTCCGATGAGTTCATCTGCCACGAAAGAGCCCTCAAACAGTACTCGCGCAGTAGTGCCGACCAGGAGACCCCACTGCCGCACGAGCTGCGCAATGAGAACGCCCTACACATGACCATGAGCTACCTGATGCACGAGATCATGGACATCAGTGAGCGCCAGGACCCGCAGAGCCATCTGGGCGACTGGTTTCACTTCGTGTGGGACCGCACGAGGTCCATCCGCAAGGAGATCACCCAGCAGGAGCTGTGCTCGCTGGGCGCCGTCAAGTTGGTGGAGCAGTGCGCCCGCTTTCACATCCATTGTGCCGCTCGCCTGGTGGCCGCCGATCCCAGTGTCTTTGACAGCAAGATCAATGCCGAGAATCTTACTAAATGCCTGCAGACCTTGAAGTACATGTACCATGACCTCCGGCTGAAGGGTGTCCAGTGTCCCAGGGAGGCGGAATTCCGGGGCTACATTGTGTTGCTCAATCTGGCCGACGCCAATTTCCTCTGGGACATTGGCCAGCTGCCCGGAGAGCTGCAGAGTTGCCCGGAAGTGCGTCAGGCCATTCAGTTCTATCTGGCCCTGCAGGACACGAACTTTGTGCGATTCTTCCAGCTGCTGACGGACGAGGAGACCAGCTACCTGAGCGCCTGCATTCTAGTCACCTACTTCACGCGACTGCGTGTCCTGGCCCTGCACCGTTTGATCCAGGCCTACAGGGCGCCGCGAAAGGATGAGGTGTCCTCACTGCCCCTAACGTACATCACCGACATGCTGAGCTTTGTCAGCGAACAGGAGGCGGCGGATTTTGTCCAGCACTACGGTCTGGAGGTGAACGAGGCGGGCAGAGTGGTGCTGAGCAGGATGCACGCGGTGGAGACGGATTACAAGCTGCCGCGACAGATTGATGTGAGTCAGGGGCATGCTTATTAGCAGTTAAAGCATATAAACCTTTTAATTCTTTCAGCTGGTGGAAATGAAGCGCATACAGAGCGTGGGCGAAGTCATCTGCGGAGAACCATTGCCGCCACGAGACCTTTACCTCAACCACCGGCCGCACAATAGCTTCAACGAGCATGGAGTGCTGAAGAGCGTCGCCTGGGCGGCCAAGGATCAGCTGCCTGGGATGCAGCAGGAGGAGATGCAACCCCAAATCCCGTCGCAGCCACCAGCAATGCCAGCCCAGAGCGATAACTTTTTCAAGGTGCCCATGCAACCAAACGGAATGGCACCAGGCTTTGCAGCTCCAGCCACGGCGGGTGTTCCGCCAGCCGTTCCCAGTGGCGGTTTCAGCTTTGTCCTGCCCAACTCACGCGCCCGAGAGCTCCAGGAGCAGGCGATGGCCGAACAGCAGCGACGGGCGCAAGAAGAGGCCAAGCATCAGGCCCTGCAACTGGCCATTGCTGCTGCCAAGCAGCGGGAAGCCGAGCTGACGGCCATTCATGAGGCCAAAGTGGCCGAGGCGGAGCGAGTGCGTCAGCAAAAGCTGAGGGAACGCCAGGAGGAGCAGCGTCAAAAGCAAGAAGAGCTGGAGAGGCAACGCCTGCGGGAGCAGGAGGAACTCCAGCTGGAGCGGGAGCGGCAACAAAAGCTGGCTCAACTGGCACTGTTGGAGCAGCAAGAAAGGGAGGCCCGGAAAAAAGTCAAGACTCTGGAGTACTACCAGGAGATATTTCAGGAAAGTCTCGCAGAGATTTGCAAGCGGGAATATCAGATGCATACCCAAGCTTGCCGCTCCTACGAATCCCTGGTGGACTTGCTTACCCGTCGCCTGGTCGAGCAGCAGATGCAGCGATCCCTCTACGAACTGGGCATCATGCGGGTTTACATGAGGCGATGGCGAAACTACCGGCGAGTCCAGCAGCGCAAGGACACGCTTTTCAACCAACTGCCCCTGAGCTTTGGGGCCGATGACCGTGATCGATTGGTGGACGAACGCAGCGTGGAGGATTCACTGCGTCTCATCAGGCGCTATAGACTTGGCGAACCCTGCGATTATGGCAAACTTCTGGCTGGCCTGGAGGAGCAGAGTTGGCTGAAGCTGGATCTGTGGCGCGTTTTGGACCAGTGCCTTCCGCAAGTACAACCAGGCGCCAGACGCTTCTTCAAGCTATTGTTGAGTCTGCCCGGCGGTCAAGAGGGTTTCCAGCTGAATTACGACCTGGACAGGGGACTGTTGCAGCAGCCCCAGTCGCCGGATGCTCAGGTGGTGGATGGAGGCTACATCAGGGGCTTCTCGCAGGGCATAGGACTGAGTGTGCTGAAGATCCGAGATAATTGCCAGGACTGGAAACCCACGGAAGTGGCCCAAGCCAATGGCATTGTTTGCTTGGCTGGCCTGGCAGACTTGCGGTATCTGCCGCAGCGACTAAAGCAATTGGTCCAAGCAAGCCGGTGTCAAGATGTGGCTTTAATTGTGCAGCATCCAGCCCATACCGTTTATGAGAATCCCGAGCTGCATTTGCAAGACGTGGGTCTGCGCTCATTTAAGATCTTCCCCTTGAGACACTCTGGAAACAATCGCCAGCGTTTGATGATTGAATTGCAATCGGCTGTAAAGTTTTTGGCCAGAGCAATGGAAAAGACACCCATGGGACAGCTACACCAAGTGGAAGTCTGCGAGTATTTGCTCGGTAATCTTGGATCGGAACTCTTTCGCCGACTTAAACACGCAGCGGAACAGGATAGTGCCATCAGAAAGGGCATCCAGCGGTATCCGCAGTTTTGTGCCGACCTCTTCAACGAGGCAGTGCATCGCCTACAGTTGGTGGCCGGTGAGGACTTGAGCGATTGTCCCCAGTTTCCCGATGAGCTGCGTGT